TCGTTTCCCGCTTTCATGGGCTTTTTTTTTTTTTTTTTTTTTCTAGAATGTCGTGTCTGTGCAGCGTGCACAAGAAAAAGAGACGTCTCCACTTTCTCGTTCGCGTCCCCTCTTTCATCTCCCGCTTCTCCACTTTCATCTCTTTGATCTCTAAGTCTTTTGTCCCTAGTCTTTCTTTCGTCTCCCGCTTCTCTCTCCCTCCTTACTACCCCTCGTCTCCCTCTCTCACGTTTGTGGCATCTCTCCCTGTCCCATTTGCCTCGTCCATTTCTCTCCCTCTTTCTCGCTCTCCTCCTCCCCTCCCTCCCTCCTCCATCAACCCCTCTCCCTCTCCCGTTTGCCTCGTCCATTTCTCTCGCTCTCTCTCGCTCTCCTCCTCCCTCCCTCCCTCTGTGTCTTCTGTCCCTAGTCGTGCTTTCGTCTCCCGCTTCTCTCTCCCTCCTCGCTACCCCTCATCTCCCTCTCTCACGTTTGTGGTGTCTCTCCCTCTCCCGTTTCCGTTGTCCATTTCTCTCCCTCTCGCTCGCTCTCCTCCTCCTTCCCTCCCTTCCCTCCTCCATCAACCCCTCTCCCTCTCCCATTTGCCTCGTCTGTTTCTCTCGCTCTCTCTCGCTCTCTCTCTCTCTCCTCCTCCCTGCCTGCCTCCCTCCCTCCCTCCCTCCCTCCCTCCCTCCATCAACCCCTCCGTCTCTTTCTCACTTCTTGTCGATTGTGACGACATTTCTTTCCCTCTCGTACATGTCAGGGTCGGCCATGCGGTATGGAAAAAAAAAAAGATGCAATAAAGGTGCTGATCTGTCTGATTTCTTGGCTTATGAGGGAGCGACTTCGTACTTTTGGTACTCGGTTGTTCGTAAAAAAACAGGGCCTCTGTCTGTGGATTATTGGTTGCATGCAAGAATGCATGCGTGGTTGAGCTCAACGTCAGTTGTTCGTAACTTCGTACTTCTTGCTTGGTACTGGGTTGGTGGCATGCACGCATGCATGCATGGACATCACTTGAATGTATTGCATCTACTGATTAATTGATTGATTGATTGATTGATTGATTGCCAATGATCGAGTGATCACTCCATCATTGGCAATCAATCAATCAATCAGTCAATCAATCAATCAATCACTCGATCATTAGCAATCAATCAATCAATCAATGTTCCTGTCATTCTTCCGTAACTGTGCTTGA